TAAACTCTATTTCACAATCTTCTTTAAATCTTTTTCCCCCATTAGTAAAATTATCTATTGTCCATGCCTTTCAGAAATCACTAAGGAAACAATAGTTTCTGGATGGAGAAGTTATTTGAAGTTTGTCCTTTAATGCTTCACACATTTTATTTTTAGTAGTAACAATCTCCATACCTTTTAAAAACAGAAATGATCGGATGTACACACACACACACACACACACACACACACACACACACAAAAACAGAAATGATCGGATGTACACACACACACGCACACGCACACGCACACGCACACACGGTATAATATATATACTGAGCACATAGAAATAATTACATTTACATTATATATAGATTTTTATAGATATGTAATTATTTGTATCAGTTGATAATCAATTGACATGCCAACTCTATTTTATGTTTAGCACTCCTACCCAGCCCTAATGCTACTTTGGTGTCTGTGTTAAGGGAAAACTTGTTTTATGAAAGTACACAAAAGCCAAGCAGTAGGAAGACATTTTTGTCATTCCAAGGCCCTCTGTTTGTTCAACATATCATTGTCGAGTTCCCATGTCTCCAGTGGACTCATCCCTGAGAAGTCTCACTATGTTGTCCCTCCAATAGCTGGGGCAATAGCTATATGCTCAGTACAAGGCCCAGAATATTTTTAGTAACTGTGTATACAGTTTTATCAAACTAATAAATAGAGGATTGCCTCAAATCATAGTACCTGGTGTGGTTTAATTTTGAGCTTCATTGTACCTCTTTGCTCATTGTGAGGGATTAAGTATTGGTCTCTTCAAAGGACACTTTTCATTCTGTGTCTGAGGAAGAACAAAAAGGAGGAGTAATAGAAGAAGCCATCCAAACTCTTATACCTCTGAACTATGGACAGATTGTAGTTCTAAAAACATAGCTACTTTGTGGGCTAGGTTGCTATGCAGTGAAGCATCTGGGCTACATCACTACATAAAGATCCCATTTATCAGAAACCATTGGTCTATGGGAATATGAGGAATAAGTAACTACACCACAGAGAAGGTAGATACAGTCTGATAACCTGTCTAGCAGGTGGCAATATAAAATCTTAACATAGAGAATTGCATAGGATCACTTCTTTATGATTTAGCATAGGTACAGATTATCCAGTATGATCCCCCATAGTTTTCCTTTGTGACACCAACCCCTTGAAATGTGTGGATGTCTGCTTTTCCTCAGTAGAATTCATGCTTATAAATTTATGCTTCTTTCCTACACTATAACATGGATTTATATATTTAGTTAGTTTTGGGTTGTTATCACACTTTATAAACTCTTCTCTTTCTTGAAATATAAACTCCCAAATCCTTAAAAACAATAAATCTCTTGTTTACATGACTTACACAGCGTGTCACACAGAATCATAAGCAATTTATGAAAGAGGTTTGTGTTACTACCAATCAGTGCTGTTCTTATTGCCCCACACTGACTTCTGTGGTTAAAGCCATCTTCTTAATTACAAAATTCTTCTGTTTTTTGTTTTGGGGGTGGTGGTAGCTTTATTTTTATTTTATTTTATTTTAATGTGGTTGATAGGTGCATTAAACATATTAGATACTGAAAGTGAAAATTTTAATATAATGCATCACAGCTTCCATTTTGAATGCCAGCTCTACCTTTATGTAAATTCATTAAGTTGGGTAGAAGTTAGGCCTGGCTCATTTTGGTGTGTGATGTTTTATTTATTTGCCAGTTTTTTTTTAGTTTTGTTTTTTGGAGACAGGGTTTCTCTGTGTAGCCCTAGGTGTCCTGGAACTCACTTTGTAGACTAGTCTGGCCTCAGACTCAAAGTGCTGGAATTAAAGGTGTATGTAACTACACCTGGTTGTAAGCTTTTTATTTTTGAATAATAAAGTTTTATTTCAAAACAACACCAAAACCGACACACGAGAATAAAGAGTTTCATGAGCCATGAAACCTTTTAGATCTGTGCAATGTTTGAGCTTCTACAAAGAGCCTCCCTGGCTCAAATGAAGAGGGATGCACATCTGAAATGAAGCCCTTCTCTCTTGGACCTGGTGGATAGTGGTGACACAGATTGTCTTTTTACCTTCCAGGTGACCATTTGAAGATCTGTTCCCAGGGATATACCTGCTGTTCTCAAGAGATGGAAGAGAAGTACAGCCTGCAAAGTAAAGACGATTTCAAAAGTGTGGTCAGTGAACAGTGCAATCATTTGCAAGCCATCTTTGCATCTCGTTACAAGAAGTTTGATGGTACGTGATCTAATTTGCATGCAAGAGGTGACAGCTGTTTTGTATGATCGCTTCTTAGATGTCTTCTTTCTCAGTACTTCACTTTTCTCCCAAGATGTGGTTGGTAGTGGTGGTTGAAGTAGGCTTCCAGAGGCAAGTTACAAGCAGCTTGCACTGGCATCTGTACACTAGGCATTATGGAAATATGGTCAAAGGGAGTTAAAAATAGATGAGGTTAATTTAAATGCTTTCCTTGTCTTTCTTTGGGTGAATGCTGCATAGTGTTGTTGACGCAAGTCACTGGGAAAAAAGACTTCCTAATAAAAAGCAGGCATCTCAAAACTGTCTTAGCTTCCCCCCTCCATCCAGTAGAGAGATTCTGCAGATGCTGGACTTCATATTAAATTTCACAATGGATTGCCAACTAGAATTCTTCGAATCCCCATAGCAAATAGACAAGATTGGTGCTCAGCTCTTGAGCATCCATGCAGCCAGTAACCTGGAAGTGGCCATTAGTCTATAGCCTTTACCAAGCTTAGCTGCCTCTCCAGGCTCATTATTAGCTGAGGTCTGCTATAGTCTTTCCATGGAAAAAAACACAACAGAACTCTATACCCTTTTACATGTATACTTTTATTTAATCGAGAGGATGTAAGAAGATAAGAGGTACTTCAAGCCCTACCTGAAGCCATGCTACAGATAACAGATGCAAAACTAGAATATGAGGTCCCAAACACCCCAGGGTTCCTCTCTGTGATGTTTCTCACTCGTGATTGTTGTGAAGTAGACTTGATTTAATCAGAACAATTTCCTTTGTGCCTGTTTTAAAGGCCATTCTAATTACATAGTACCTTTGAAGCAAGCTTTTCTTGACATTATGCGTGGTGATGTAGTACAAGGCAAATTTTCTAGATGTGAAATGTCTTTTGAGTATTGCTGCAAAGGGTTTGTTACCATGGTGAGTAGTTAGACTAAATTAGATTTGATAGAGCTGATAAGACAGTCCCCAACTATAGAACAGGTTCTATTTCAGGCGTTTATTTTGAGAGTCATTATTCGAAAGTTTTTTTGTAACCAATTTAATAAGTATTAGTAAGCTGTCCAGGCTAGACTATAATGCATGCAATTTGTAATGTAGTTGTACTTAATGCTGTCTGGATATTATAGTGTATGTCATTGATCCTATTCACTGTTTCAAGTACACTGTGTGCCAAACATACTTGGACTTATTTTTGCATGCTGAGACCGGGGAAGGAACCCCGGACATTACATATGCTACACCTATACCTCTTATACACTGACCTATACCTCCAATCTGTTTGGTCTTATTTCTATCTCCTTTCTCTGGATGGGTGAGAATAAATATATGTATCTTTATATCCTGATTAACTCAACTCTGGTATACCTGGCTCCTTCTGTTAAAAAGCACATGCTAATGCTTTGTGAAAATAGATATTATTGGCAAGTACAGGATCAGACCCTTCATTGTCTCTAAAAACAATGACTCATTACCCACCCCCTCCAACTCCATCTAATTTTTTGAGAGGCCTGTGATTTGTTATTTTGCTTTGACTTCCCTAGTGCTCGTATTACAGGTGTGTACTACATGCCTAGAAACAGTGAAAGTCTCTTGACTCTGCCATATCAGAGACGTGACTGCTTTAAACATCACCACATGGGACTTTCCCATACCAGAGCTAGAAAGGAAACTTATGTCCTGCCCCTGTTTGAGAGTGTGATGTAGTGAAGATAAACTTATTTCCAAGTCCCCAAGCCCAACTTCTCTAAGTTATCCCTTTTCTTTTCTTTTCTTTTCTTTTCTTTCTTTTTTTTTTAGGTGAAGTACACTTGGGGGTTAAGATAATGCTTTTAATACAAGCTTAAACTTGAGGGGAAAGGGGGGACTCAGAAAAAAGTAAGACATATCCAAGAGCATAGGTGTGGGCTTCTCAAAGAGAAAGTTGTAGAATATAACAAATACTCAAGTCTGGGTATAGACGTCTCCAAAAAAAATTGTCCTGTTTCTGGTTACACACATCTTTCTCTGGAATAGAGCCCACAGTCATTGCCTATGGCTCTGCTGATTTAAAGTTCTCCATCCCCATGGTTTTATAGCAATATAGTACATAGTATGATTACAGTGTGCAAGCTTTCTTTTAACGAAAACTGTATAGAGAGCCGTTATCAGTAAGTGTTAACATATGCTTGGATTTTTTAAAATATAGAAACAATTGTTCTTGTTCTTCACATGCAATAAATACGCTAAAATTGTACCTTTATCGGTTCCAAAACATACTAAAAATGATTATAGAACTCCCGTGCATTTCTTGTGACTCTAACTTAAAATATGGCAAAGACAATAAAGTTAATGAGCACCAATTAAAATTTGTTGTAAGCCGCTGAAATCTGTTTGGTCTGGAGATCAGAACAGAGCTGGGATACTTTGCACATTTTTTTAAGTTTTCTGAAATAATTTTCCGTGGCAAAACATCAGTTGTCTGGTTCCCAGCAATCCTTTAGTGGGTGCTACATCAGTTGTTTGATTGATAGATATATTTTTAAAAGATCCAGGGGTGTTGAGTAAAGTGCTTTAAGGTTATTTCAATTCTCAGAAGTCCAGAGGTAAGGTGTTTTGATCAAAGAACTGTGTGTATCTGTGATAAAAAGGATAAATGTGTGTCTTTGATGTAAATGGAAGAGAGGAAATTTGGCAAAAAAACAAGATGGTGGCTGGTGAACCAAGGACAGCAAAGTTGCACACAACCCGCTTGGAGATACATAGCAAAAGGAAACAGGGAAATAGTAGTAGGTCCATTGACTTCAAAAGAGGGTCTGTCCATGCCCAAGCTCAAATGCATACTCAAAGAGCTGATTTTGGGCCCTGGCTACTTCCTGGGTTATCAAAGTGGCCTCCCTTTCCCATTTTTTGGATACTCTGCCTCCATTGCAAGTGAGGGGTGTGGTACCTGCTCTTGTGTTTTTGGACTCCCCAAATGTGAAGAACAAATCCTTTTTCCCATTCCTTTGTCTCAAAGGAATTTTTGGGGGGTGTGGGATTGTTTGTTTTGCTTCTCTGCTTTCTGTTTTCTATTGTTATATATCTCAAGTGAATATATAGTTTATAAGTTGATTTGTACATTTTAAGCTGTGTGTATGTTTTCAAACCTGGGTAAATACAAGAAGAGACCTCATTTGGCAGTATCTCCGTGTAGTGCTTCAGCCAGTTTTGTGGGTTTATTTTCAAAATATTAAAATTGTATTACTCCTACTTATTATTATTATTATTGCTATTGTTATTATTAATGTTATTATCGTGTATGTGTGTGTATGCATGTATACCTGGTGTGTTCATGCCATGGGTATGTGTCAAAGTCAGGCAACAATTTTTAGGAATTAGTTCTCTGTTTCTACTGTGGGTTTTGGGATCAGACTTGGCTTTTACTTACTGAGCCATGTTGCCAGGTCACCTATGCTTTAAATGTGTGTCTCTGGGTGTGAGGACTGGCAAGATGTTTTGTCAACTCTATCTTAAAATGGTCCTAGAGCCAGAGCATTAGGGTGACAGGGCTAGCTGATCCCCCTCTTGGCCAGTCTTGGGAATTTTTTAGTAGTAAAACTGCTAATTAGCTGAAGCAGTTGTCTCATGAATATGCTAATAAGCCAGTTCAGTGGGGGCTGGGGAAGAATTGCTTGGCAAAGGATAGAAATAGTAGAAGTGGCGCATAATCCGTGTTTGGGGACTACAACGAAATGTCTGGCACTTTGTGAGACTACATTGTTTTTTAAAAGAAACATAGGTTATTAAGATGAACAAAGCAAATGTGTTAAATACATTTCTGGATTACATAATAAATGATGTAATAGCCATGAAGAAATACTACTGCCAAACAACTCTCTGAATCAAACTAGATATTTGCTAGATATTTTGCACACTTTAAGAAATTTTATGGAACCAAAGATGACACTTGATACTAACTTATTGGGAACACTCTCTTAATTTGTCATTTTAGGAAGAAATTAAGCCACTTTGGTTGGGAGGCAGAAAACAGCAAATTTTCAGCCTGGTTCTGTAGCAGGACCTCCTGTGACCTGGGCTAATTAACCGGGTCTCAGTTTTCCCATCCATAAAATGAGGGGTTGGGTTAGATGTTCCCTTAAAACGCTTTCAATTCTAAAAATTCTCTGAATCTTTTAAACATGTGACTAGACCAGCTGCTTAAGTGAAAGGTCTTACAAGTTGTTAATTAGCCATCTGTACGATACCCTCTCTTTCCCTCCTGTCATTTCTTAACCCCCAGCCACACACACCAGGTCTTTGAAAACCTTCCCATGAGCCTGCAGCTTGTTAACTTGAATAATGGTAGAAATTTTCTGAATTAGCTTAAAATGCACATAAAAGACATAATTGTCTGTCCTATCTATCTGCCTGGGCTGTGTAAGCTAGAGTAGCTATCATTCACAGGCCTGCCCCCGCCCCCAGGTTCCTATCATCTCACACAGGCATGACATGAAACAGTCTTCAGACTTAGCTGAATCTGTGTTTTAATCACTGTAGTTCTTATCACTCATTATTTCATTAATCCAGGAGGAAAACCAATGTGGAGGCTCAGTGGGCTGAAGGCATTGAAATTATAGGCCTGTGAAACTAATAACCTCGGTGAGAGTGAACTGTTCACTCACCTTTAATGATAAGAACACCTAACTAAACTCCATGGCCATTATCTTAGTTGAAAACTGTAGATTTTTTCCTAGTCCCTATCTTTAACTGTTTTAAACAAAACTTTGTGGATTTGTTATTGGAGTTTGTTGCTACCCATATTAATAAAGACCTCCTTTTTAGGTTGTCTTATTATGATGATTTATTTACTTTTACTTTATGTGCCTACATGTATGTAGGCACATTTTGCCTACATGTATGTCTGTGTGAGGATTTTGGATTCCCACTGGAACTAGAGTTACAGTTTTGAGCTGCCATGTGGGTGCTGGGAATTGAACCCAGGTCCTCTGCAAGAGCAGTCAGT